CCCCCACCACCACCCCGACTCTCGTCGGCCGCGCGCCTGCGCGAGCCCCTCCAGCTTAAATCTTTTCTCTCTCTCGACCGGCTCCATCTGTCTGTCTGTCTTCCTACGGTTTCGCGGAGCTTCCCCGCATCCAGCTTGGGCGCCGGGCATGGGCAGCGAGAGCGCGCGCAGGAGCAGCCCGGGCTCCGCTGCTCCGTCGTGCACTCGCTCTTGCTCCTGCTGCTCTTCTTGCCCTGTTGCCCCCAGGGCGGCGCCTCGGCGGCGCTCCCGCCTTTTCCCACCGAGGACGGGTGAGTGAATGAATGGATGGCTCCTCCTTCGGAGCACCTGCTCTCTCGCTCTCTCTCTCTCTATCCCTCCCTCTCTCTCTCTCATATATTCTCCCTGACTGTGGGGTGGGTCGGCGGACCGTTCGCGCGCTCTCTTGGTATTCGAAGGAATTGGTGCCTGTGGCGACTGTGGTGGGAAGCGAAAGGCGGGCGGGAGTGGGGGGGGGGATGCAAAGCAGCTACCGCCGTTCCTCCTACCGCAGCGAGAGGCGCCTTTGCTTTTGCTTCGCGCCTGGATGGCTTCCTAGCCCTTTCCCTGAGAGGACTGGCCGAGACTTCTTAAAGGAAGGAGTAAGGGGGGGGGGGGAAGAGAAGGAAGAGGAGTCGGCTTTTCCAGAAATGGACATTTAAACCGTTCGGACCTGCAAGACCCGGCTCTCCAGAAATCCCCACAGCGGTGTTCTTCTTTGAACCCCCTTTTCTTTTCTTTTGCACGTGTCCCGCCTGACCTCCCCTCCACGCGAGTTCCTTCGCGTGATGGTCACCGCGGGCGATCCGCGCCTCCTGTAAGCCCTCCTGAGCCCTTTCGGGGAGCCCTATCTGAATCGTCTCAACCCCCCCCCCCCAAATACCCATATTCCACCCCACCCCCCGTTGTTTTTAGGACATAAAAAAAAAACTTCTGAAGGACCGTTTTATTTTTAAGGAGCCGTTGGAATGAGAGGCTGGAGGCTTCCCTCCCCCTTCCGCCCTCCGTGCCTCCTGCCCGAGCAGCCTTCTCCCCTTTCCCTCCTGCGTCTCTCGCTGTACAAAGAAGTCTTTAAAAAGAGATCCCTGGTCGCCCGCTAGCTTGCTGGGGTTGTGCCAGCCCTCCGGCGAGCGCTACCGTAGGATCTTTCCTCTTGGACAGAGCAAAGAATCTGAGCTGGACAGAAGGAGAGGGCAGACGGGGCCCGCCTGGTTCGCAAGGGCTTTTTGTAATGAGGCTTTGGCATAGGTAAGTGCCCCTCCCACGCGCTCTCTGGAGAGGATGCAGAAAGGTGAACTTTGTTGGGGAAATCGCCTTTCCTTTTGGGTGTCTTGTTTTCCTTCTTTGTGTTTTTCGCGGGGTTCTGCGGCACGCTTTCTGGTCTCCTTTATTCCACAGTGAGCTGTGTAGTATTTTTTTTTTAAATGCTATTTCGGTAGTTCTCGTGGAAGGTTGTTATGACAGCAGTTTCTCTCTTCCCCCTCTCCTCCCCATCACTACTTCTTATCTTCGCTTCGCAGATTAAGGATAAAAGACGTTGCGCTGATTGCCAAAGTACTTACACTCTTGTGATTTTTTTAAAAAAATTATGTGCGCTGTGTATACAAATACACACGTATTACACGTCTGAATCCCGTTTGCTTCAACACACCGTTCGCCTGGAACTTTGCCATTTATGACCGGGCGGAATCGAATAATTCGAGGATGGAGTATGGTTTAACGTTCTTTTCTGGCATGTCATATTGAACTTGGAGATGCGTGAAAAAGATCTTTAGCTCTATAAATGATATTGCTCTTTTAAAGATTTGGGATGAGTCTATATAGAGAGAATGACAGTTTTAAAGATTTGACTGTGGAGAGTTTCACAAGATTAAGTGATGTGTTTCTTTGGATGCTATGAGCTGTCTCTAGGGTTGCAGATATTAATTTTAGAGTAAGTGCAGCAGGTTTTGGACATCTACTGGATTGTAGGAATCCAGGTAACAACTGGTAATACGGTTCAGGGTTGTCATACGGTAGTTTAAAATGCTCAGATTCACATGTTCTATAGTGATAAATGAACCATGAATGACAATACTATCGATACTTGTGTATCATGATACTCCCTGTTGCAACAAGATATATTCAGAACTGTTGCTCTGGTTTCTTACATTTCCCCTCCCCCCTCTTTATTTTAAGGGGAAATATGATATATGTATAAATATGTTTTGTTGTGTATTAGAAAACACTAAAAGGATGATTTTTTGTTTTTAAAAAGGCATTTTTCTCTTGTGGAGCAATATACTTGAATACCAAATTTTAAACAAGTGTAAGAACACTGGATTTTACTTCCTTTTCAGATATGTTGCAATAGTACCTTTTGAATTCTTAACACCTGCATTTTAATAAGTTTACTTTTATTATAGGCAAGATATGTTCTGTACAGATTAATAAATGTGTACAATGTGAAAAATGAGACCAAGAATCAACATAGAAAAATAACCACTATAATGGTATTTATCCAAAAGTTAATGTTTTGGATAAATAGATGCTCATGGCAACATAGAGTGAAAAAATGTATCCAATAATCTTTAACTTAGGGGAATGAAATGTGTTGGTATGTGAACTGAAATGTTGAAAATATAATTATTAATGTGTTACATTATTAGAATTAATTAAAATATTTTTGATTGGGTTGTAGAGTAAATCAGTTAGAGATTTTGTCCCTTTTGTTGAACCATTATCAGAAAAAGGCACTATGAAAAAGAAGCTAACCTTGTACTATCAAAAACAGGGCATTATTTAATGGGGGAGGAGACACACCTTGTGTACAACATCAGCCTTTCAGCCAACATTGTCTTCAGTGTGAGACAGTCAGTTACCTGATGTAACCACAGTTCTCTGCACATGTATTCAAAAAATAATTTTAGATCTATTAGGGTGAAAATAGAGAAAGTATTTGATTACCCCCCCCCCCTTTGAGAAGATGACTCATGTTATCAAAGTAATAATCCCTCTTAAAAGATGAACCAACCAACCAATTACTATAGAATGTATCTAAATAAGCCTAGGAACACTACAATAATGAAACAACCTTGTATGTAGAATATAAGCACTATCCCATCAGTCTTTTTCTCTCACACATGCATATATATTTATGTATATATTAAATGTGCATATCAACAAAATATGAACTCAGACTGATGTGGCTAGAGCAGATAAGCATCCTGCTTTGAGAATACAAGGGTGATATACAAGTGTAAATAAATTACAGATAGTCCTTGAATTATAATCACGACTGAGTACCACATTTCTGTTGCTAAGAGAGACAGTTGTTAAGTGAGTTTTGCCCTATTTTATGACTTTTCTTGCACAGTTGTTAAGTGAATCACTGCAGTTGTTAAGATAGTAACATGGTTGTTAAGTGAATCTGGCTTCCCCCTTAACTTTGCTTGTCAGAAGATCACAAAAGGGAGATCACATGACCTTAAGACACCGCAACTATCATATATTATATTAAGTCCATTTCCAAATGTCTGAATTTTGATCACGTGACCATGAGGATGCTGCAATGGTCGTAGTGTGAAACAGTCATACATCACTTTTTTCAATGCAGTTGTAGCTTTGAATGAACTAAATGAACTGTTGTAAGTCGAGGACTACCTGTACATTATACAGACACTAGTATTTTAATATTGAATGTGTCCTTCTCACTAATAAAAGGACAAAGATAAAGTTTAGCATGGATGAAAATCATTCCTAGAATGTAGATACAACAAGTTTTCTAGTCTTAAAATTATTTGATGTGGGATATCCATGTATACTTTCAGGATGCATTTTATTTTATCTGGGTTGTTTAAGTTACGCAAAAATTTGAAGTTGGCTATATATATATAGCCAATATAAATATATATATAGTGTCACAACCCCTGGTAAGCCCCAATNAATATAAATATATATATAGTGTCACAACCCCTGGTAAGCCCCAATTGTGGGAGGAAGCTAACTGCTTCCATCATCTGTCAATCGGCTCATCACAAGAGTCCATCACGACAGAAACCCAATATTTTTACTGTTGCCTTTGTTATATTTGTGTTTTATTTATTTATCAGCACAAATAAAAAAATAAACAAACACACACACACACACACACATATATATATATACACACACACACATACATACATACATACATACATACATACACACACTAACTGAGTTATAAGCAATGAAGTAAGATAACATGAAAAATCATGCATGCCCAAGGTCAATTAGGAAGTATCATGGCTGAGTGGATATCTGAATTGAAGTATTTCAGTTATCTCATAATAGCTTATGTACTAAAGTTGCATATATAGTGAAAAAGCACATATAACGATGAATAAAGCATATAACCATTAATCTTGATGCTAGTTTCATAACCATCAATCATGAAACATAAATTGAAAAGAGCAACATTTTATATGATACTACAAGGTGGGAAGACATTTTAAAGCATTGGAAGATGTCTGTTTCCATAAGTTGATTTTAAAGAAACGTCTGGAGTTTAATAAAACTGTAAACTGCACAATATGCAGTTCTGTGGTTAGATAAAAATGCAGTAGAGCAGGGGTGAGCAATCTACAGGTCACACATAGCCCCCAGCACCTGAGTAGTGTTTATTAACATCACAGGCTAGTTCTGCCAAAATATTATCAGGAGAGCTGATGATTTTCTTTTCCTCTTCAAGATAAAAGTAGAAACAGAAGCAGAATGTGTTATCTTTTTCAATGACTTGCTAGTTGGTCAGCCTTTCAATCAAAGAAAGTTGCACACTCTTGCAATAGTAGATACTTTATAGGATATAACAAAGATTAAAAGTTCATAATGGGGGGAAATGAAATGGGGGAAAAATCAGATTACATCTAAAATAGACCATCATTTTGAAAAGTATGGTGGACAATTCTGAGGGAAGAGAATCATATCTGTCTGTTTCTACCCATATTCTCCAAATGTATGGACTATAGATCCTGGTGTTCACTTCCCATCTGTAACTGGGAAATGCTTTAAAGCATTTCAAGGGTATTCCTTTCATAAAATTAGAATGATTGTAGTTTGAAGTATGCTTTTTTAAAAGCTTTATGATCTTCCACATTTAATTCACCTCTTTTGTTTCTGATTTTTGCTTGGTCTATATTTGAGAAGAATTTTTTTAATTGTTTTTAAATATATCTTTTAAAATCTATTCATCTATTTATTTAAAATCTTTTTAACTCTAAATTTACATCACAGTTTTAATCAAAACAAAGCTTAT